AAGTTCCTTCACCTTTCCTTCTCATGCCTTCATTTCTAATTTTTCTTTCGATTATGAAACGGTCAAAGGGAATTAATGGGGAAAACATTCTACCAACAAAAAAAATTGCGCAAATGGTCTTGATATGAAGTTTTGTAAAACAAATTAAATGGCAATACGGCAAATAAACTTGTCGTCTTTTTTAATAGAATTGTAAGAAAATTGTGGAATTTTGCCCCGAAATTACTTTCACTTTTTTATAAATGAATTTAATCCTTGCCCATTAATTGCATTTGACCGTTTTATAATCGAAAGAGAAATTAGAAATGAAGGAATGAGACGGAAATATGAAGGAAAAAGGGGGACAAAATGATGTATAACACAAGAGTACCGTATATTTTAATGTTTTTTGCATAATTAAATGTTGTTTGAGTTTTTTTAACATAGGTATGTATATATTTTACAATTTTTCATGATATTTGGCCCGCTCTATTAAATATATATTTATAATTTGCCTAAGTTTATGCATTGAACATCCAATACCGCAACCAGGGCCACCAATCTATTAAAAAATGATAATTTCAATAAATAGTAATCAAAAATTTCTTAGTGACGTTCAAATGTTGCTATATTTTTGCTTTATTTCATGTCCTGTCTTTGGGTGAAGTCATCTTTTTGATCCCGATTTCTTGAGGTTATTAGAAAATTACCCTTAGAAAGTTAGATGAAAAAAACTTCGCTTGTATAACAAAAATGACCTATTCTTTGCTTTACTTAAAACTGTGCCATATGGGAACAAAATAAATTTCGAGTCTTGTAAATTTTTAGTCTTGAGTAGGTTCAGCTGGATCGGGGGGTTTTTTTGAATCCCTATCCCAATTTTTTAGATTCAGAGAACGAATGGTGAATCACAATCCCAGTTTTGAATGATCCCGATACCGAGTCGTGATCCGTAATCGTGATTTGCATCATCGAAGAGAATGAGAAATCCTACCGGTCATATAACTTACCGGGCATATAAGAATGCGTGCCTTATCACAATCTATAGGATTTTGATGTCGATCAATTGCAGATTGTACTTTTTCACTCAAAAGTGAGAGTTGTTGTAAATTACTATCTTTAACCCAGATCAATCGTTCTGTTGATAAATGGCTAATAATCTGTTTAAAAGAATATAAAATTTAGTCGATACGAGCCACATTTGTTGTCGATGCGAGTCACATTTTGACCAAAAACATTATCGACCAAATTTGACCAAAAAGTTCATCGATAGTGTTAAATCAAAACTGATTTTAAAGATTAACACTATTATTAGGAGTATTACTTACGCCAGCTAAATCTCTTAGGTTTCAGCTTACAAGAATCTTTATCTAATTAAACTGAAACATTAGGGACGGTTCTTTCTAACTCGGGAGCATATCATATTTTACGAGTAAAGGTACTTTTACCTTATTGAAGTGAGTGAATGTGAGTTATCTTTTACGCGTTTACGAGTAAGTAAAGGTATTATGGTGTAGATTTATAAGAAAAATTCTGTGTATTAAACGAATTAAACGCCAATTATATGTAAGACCCGTATAGCATTTGCAACTTTACTTTTAATTTGTCAAAAAAACGTTCAACGTATATATTGTTTAATGTAATTATCTAGCCATGTTAAAATTTCGAAAATTTTCAAAATATACCTGATTATATATATGCTTTTGTGTGGCATTTTGTCTGGGATTATAGCCATATAATCTACTAAGATATACGTATTTCTGTGCAAAAGTCATTTGAGCATATGCCTCCTATTGCAAAATAAATTTATAAGAAATTTTACTAAAACATCGAATAAAAATATAATATCTTCTACAAAATTATTATTAATATTCATTTATTTTAACCTTATCTGTTTTTATATCATTGTTTAACATGACTATGTTATAATTACTTTTATTACTTGAAATACAATATCTTTGTTGATTTATTAATAAATATAACAATAAAAATAGAATTAATATAGCCAATGCTTTCATTTTTATAAAACTTATTTTATATTTTTGTTTCATTATCAACTTATCAGAAGTTTCCGATTTATCCAATAGTGGTTCTTTTAAATATTCTATTTATAATAAATTTAGGCGAAATTCAATCAAACAAAAAAATGAAATAAAAAAGAGGGCTAAACTACAGTTTCCGGATCAGGCTCAGTATCGGACGTTTTATATGTCATTCGAAAGAGCTCGGTGAGCTGAGTCGAACAACACCAAAATTATTCAGCGGAAAAAATTCTGAGCCGAGTTACAGACCCCTAAAGTTCAAAAAACCATAGGGGGGACCAAGCTGTTTTCTGGGGGTGAAAAATTCGAATATGCAAATTATACCTCATTCGAAAGAGCTCGTCGAGCTGAGTCGAATGACACCAAAATCAACGAAATCAGACGTGAATGGACAAAGTTATGATCTTTTCTTTTAGCTCCTTACCTATGGCATCTGTTGAGATTTTTGCTGCTACGGAGGCCCCAAATACGTCCAGAGCAAGGGATTTAGGAATAGGTTTATGTTACGAGCCCAGACCCAGCGCCCGTAGATTCCCCGCGAGGCGCGTGCCGCAAAACCCCGCGCGAAGCGCGGGGTTTTGCACAAGCGCCTCGCCGACGATCCATACGTTTAGGTTTTTTTTTGTTTTTTGTGTCATAACTTTGTCTAAACTTGTTCAATCACGGTGATTTTGGTGTCATTCGACTCAGCTTGACGAGCTCTTTCGAATGAGCTGTTATTTGTAAAATCGAATTTTTCACCCCAAAAATGAGCTTACTCCCCCCTATGGTTTTTGACCCTTTCGAGCCCTATATCTCGGCTCCGAATTTTTTCCGCGGAAAAATTTTGGTGCCATTCGACTCAGCTCGATGAGCTCTTTCGAATGACATATAAATCGTCCAATTCTGAGCCTGATCCGGAAACAGTAGTTAGGCCATAAAGTGCTTTAAAATTAAATCTGAAAATTTATTCGGTACTATTCACTTATAGGAGGTTCTTGATATGTTGACTTATATGGACGTCTGAAGTGTCATTCGACTCAGCTCGCCAAGCTGAGTCGAACTAAATGTGGGCGAAGTTTGTCCGGTACACAGGTCCCGAGATATCGTCGATTGAAAATCGAAAAATGAAAATTTTTGAAAACTCATGAAAATTTTCATTTATTCTTGATTAAATCTCTCATATTTTTTGAGAAATTAATTTTTCTAAAAAAATAATGTTGTTTAAACCCCGCAGCAAAAAATTTTTTCTTTCTAACTTCAAGTATTAAAGAAACTAACATTGACTAAAATTGATGTTTTTTTATTAAGCACGATTTTTATTTAAATCGTGCGCGAATTTTGCGCCGCAACATTTGCGCCACCGGACCTAATAAAGAAGATTAGCAACTAGCATTGTACTCCATCCTTTCGTCGAAAGTCGGGGAATTTGAGGCATTTTTTAATGTTGCGCGCAAATGTTTCAGAACCATTTAAATGACAAAACAGAGACCCAATTTAAATCTAAAGGAAGATTAGAAAATGGATGCTAGAAACTTGTTAGTAAAACAATCTTTAATGGTTATCTAATTTTTCGTATCTTTTTAATATAAATAGAAAAATAGGAAATTGCTAAAAGGAAAATAGTTTTTTATGCAAGTATTATTATATTAGTATAGTAAAGCAGCTGGGCTATAGCTATTTCTCTCCTTTAGCTAGTGCAAAAGGTTAATCGGCGGCTGGGAGCGAACCAGCATCTTTAGTAGACCGGACTGATGTGTTAGCCATTACACCACGCCGCCTACTGCATAGCCTTAGGAATTAAATAACTAACAATAATTTTCAGTGTTCTTCGATTCAGATCAAGAGAGCTTAGATCAAATACATCCAGGAATATAACCGAAACAAAAAAAAATAAATTCCGTTTCGGGAATGTGATTCCTGGCCCAAAAAACATCGTGTATTCCCGATTTTCGTGTATCCCCGATTTATTGTGTCCCGGTTCTTTTATATGTATTAAATAAATTTAAATATTCTACTTAACTAACAATAAATCTAACTCAGACAATACTCAATTAAATAATTACACACAATTTATAAATAAGTTTATTTATGTTTAGGTAGCAAGTTTGATCAAGACGAGCTTGAAAGGTAAAAAACAAATATTGTAAGGAAATGGGTGGAAGAACGACAAATGAGGAAGTTGTAAAACAAGATAAAAAAATAAATCATTTAAAATATGTAAAAGAAAGGAAGTTTAGGATCAAAGTAAATGTTTGGGCTGTAGTGTGGCTTACCGGAGGTTAATGAATCGAATGTCATTCGATTCGTCTCGACGAGCTGAGTCGTTCGGTACCTCTCACATTTTCATGAAATTATTCTGTACCGAGTTATAGGTCCCGAAAAATTGAAAAACCATAAAGGGGAGTAAGGTCGATTTTGGGGTGAAAAATTCGAATATGCAAATAATAGCTCATTCGAAAGAGCTCGACGAGCTGAGTCGAATGACACCAAAATCAACAAAATATGACTTGATTTGACAAAGTTATGATCGTTTATTTTAGCTTCTTACCTATGTCTCCATGGAGGTTTTTGCTGCTACGGAGGACCCATGTTACTGACCCAGAACCCAGCGACCGTTGATTCCCAGCGAGTGCGTGCCGCAAAACCCTAGCGCCTCGCCGACTCGCTCGTCGAGCTCTTTCGAATTTTTCGTGAACTATAACTCGGTATAGAATCATTTCCTGAAATTGTGAGTGGTACCTTTCGACTCAGCTCGTCGAGACGAATCGAATGTCATATGTCACGTCCCAAACTTTTACCTCCGGTAAACTACACTATATCCAATTTTGTTTTGAGGGAATGGTTTAAATGAAGTTGGGTAAGGTAATTGTTTGGGGAAATGTTTTGAATATTAAAAATGGGAAAATAGATAACAAACATTTAAACTATATTTAGTGTAACAAATATTTGAAAATAATTTCTTAATAATTAATAAAATGTCAAGATCCACAATTTCCTTTATTGCCACATAGCCTTCTTAAAAGCTACCTTGTTCTTGCTTCTTAACCACTTATCTGCCCAATTTTTAATACAAAATTTGGGATCATACCAGTATTTCCAAATATCTCTGATTATATGCTTTGGATGATTATTTGCTTGTTGTTTATGTACAAACTCACAGAGATTGCATAGTGGATTATATGATGGTGCATAAGTGTTATTCTTAGCACTGATATAAGCCTGACGAACGTAAATAATAAATTTGTCGAAATTAGATCTATAAGTAGTTTTTCTGTAGGTTTTTGTCCAGTCAAAATATCTTTAAAAATTAATATATTTTCGGTAAATTTTAGATAAGCGCAAGATAAGCACCAGGATATTTATCTAGGTTGCCCTTAAATAAGGTGTTCGATAATAAATATTATTATATGCATTTTAGTAAAAACCATGTACACAAAATTAAGTCAAAATTTTAACCTAAAATTTGTTCGAGCTAAATAAGATTCTACCTTAAATAAGCTGTTTCATTCTTTTGCAAATAAAGCAAATACTTGGCTAGTTCTTCCACATTGTTAAAATCATCTACCTCAATATACACATTATCTGGTATTTTTGTATTGTTGAATACACGACGACTAAGGACTATAGGCACAATTAAATGTTTCAAATTCCAAAATTTTTCAGTAATATATTCCTTACAAACAGAATTTTCAAATGCCAAATAAAACATGTGATTAGCTGAAAATAATTTAAATAATAGGTATATCGACAAGAATGTTTTGTGTATAACTTTTTTGGATAGAAGTAAACAAAGTACAGTAGTGAACTGAGAACAATAGTACCAGGGGCGTATACAAATATATCATATTTCTGAGATGACATGTCATATTTATGACAGAGGAGATGCAGGAAGTACAGTGGATTTGCAGAAACCTCTGTTCTTATTTATATTAAAAATATTTTTTACCTAATTCTTGTTTAAGACATTGCTCAAAATCGCATTTATTGCCAACACATTTCCCATACAAATCAATCTTTATAAATTTATTTAATTCAGCAACAATATCTTCTCTCTTTGATTCAGTATCTTCAAAAAATAAGCATAATTTATTTCAGTGTTTAGATTTTATGAATCATGACGTTTATTAACAAATTTAGTAAAAATTGTTTTGCAATAATGCTGTTGCTGCGTAAAGATATATGTACATAAAGCGACTTCGATAGAGAATTTTATGAAAAAGGAGTAAGAAAATGTCGCGTCTAACACTTATCTTTCAGAGACATTTTTGCGTCATTTTCTAAAGACAAATCTCATCAAGCAGCTGGTCAATACTTTTCTAGAATTTTTTTCTGATGAGGCACATTTTCACTTGCATGGGGGTGTTAATAAACACAATTTTATTTATTGGTTAGAAAATTTTGCATAATTTCAACCCAAAAATATGCAGGTTTGATAGTAATCCAAATTGGCTCACAGAAGAGCCATTGCATTCACCTCGAATCACAGTATGGGCTGAAATTGGGCAAAACGGCATTATCGGACCCTACTTTTGGCCAAAAAATTTTGATCAAAATAGCTATATGATCTTACTGGTCACCCAATTTTTTACAGCGGCCCGAGTTCTTCCGAATTTTGAGACTATGGTGTTTCAACAAGATTTGGAGGTAGGAAGATCTCGGAACTGTAATAGGGGATTTGTTTAAGTAAGGTATGAAATTGGCTTATACAAATTTTCTTGTTTTTATTATGACGTGTAAAAAATAGTAATGTGACATAAGTGTGTTTGTTGCCACTCGCTGTAAAATAAATGAAGAAGATGGCACGCAATGAAAAGAGGGAGAAAATAGAAAGGTAGAGTACGAAATTGAAATAGAGGGTTAGGGTTCGAATTTAGACAATTTTTATGTCAAAAAAGCCATAAAATATAGATTCGAAATACCAAATACCATTAAAATCTGTCAACGCAATAAAAAGTTGTTGATTTTGTAAATAGTATTTCTTATTGTTAGTTGAAACTCTGAAGAAAAGAGAAGGAAATCGGAAAGAGAAGGAAATGAGAAGGAAATCGTAATTTAATCAATTTAATTACCGCAATTTGTGACAGCTTGCATTGCCAATTTTGTTTTCCTTCTAACATTTTCCAATACCTAAAATAAAATATAAATTTGGAGATACTTTTTATACCGTATTTATTCTAGTATAACGAGATGTCGTTTTAATTTTCAACGCTCTTCATGGTGTCGTTATATTAGAGACTTTAGTTATAATAGATACTCCACAAAAAATTTGACTATAATTCAATGGATATTTCACCACTAATCCCAGTTTCCTCATCCTCTACAAAATCGATTTCTTCCAAAATTCCTCCCCTCTACCCTAAAGTTAATCAATACCTATACAGACTAATGCGCGGCAAAAGTATTACCGATACCGAGAGACCGAAAAGTACTGATACAGAAAAATACCAAAAAAAATTTACGGAGTGCCGCAGTATTTCGGTACTTACAATAACATGACATAATATTCAAGAATATCGTTGCTTACATTTTTACATCGATACTTTGGGTCAAGTGTATATATATTTCTTACCGATTATCGCAAAATTAAATCTTTTTAAAAATCTCTGAATACTGTACAATTGTCCACTGTACAATTGTCTACTGTACAATTGTCTCACTGTACAATTGTCGTGCCACCTTAGAAAGAGCTCATCGAGCTGAGTCGAATGGCGCCAAAATTAGTCCGCGGAAACAACACTGAGCCGAGATACAGCACCCTAAATTTCGAAAAACCATAGGGGGCCGTGCTCGCCGTGCTCGCGCGGCCGTCGTTCCGCTCGACATGCCCGGCTTTTTTACGTTTAAACCTTGTGGAAGGGTAAAAACAAACGGTCATAAATTTGTTAAATCGAGACAAATTTTGTTGATTTTACTGTCTTTCGATTCAGCTCGTTTAATTTAACAGGGACAAATCTCCCCACTGCTTTTATTTCAATTTTTACCCGCAGCTGAGGGTTGGTTAACCCCTAACCTTAGAATACCACCCCTAAGAGTATAACTAACTAAATTACCTCATTTTCTTTCCAATATTCATCGACCTGGCATTCCCCATTACAAGGAACTAAAGCATCATATGGATAGTAAATATTACTGTCAGCACGATAGGTCATGGTTATATTAAAAAAATCAAATGATACATTCTAATTTAAATATATATTTTATAAGATATAAAGAAGGTATTGACTTTAAAATGTTCAAATGTTAAAATAGGTGGTTCTTCCAGAAAGAAGACATATAATTGATTAGAAAATCTAAATTCTGGCAAATTTTTGTGCTCATCTCGTATATGGTAAATGATTATTATTAATGAAAATTATTATTAATATTCATTTAAGTTAACCTTATTTGTTTTTATATCATTGTTTAACATGACTATGTTATAATTACTGTTATTACTTGAAATACAATAATATCTTTGTTGCTTTAATAATAAATATAACAATAAAAATAGAATTAATATAACCAATGCTTTCATTTTTATAAAACTATTCTTATATTTCTGTTTCATTATCAACTTAACAGAATTTGCCTTTTATCGAGTTCCTTTAAATATTCTATTTATAATAAATTTAAGCGAAACTCAATCAAACAAAAAAATTAAATAAAAAAGAGAGCTTTAAAATTATATTTGAAAATTTATTCCGTACTATTCACTTATAGGAGGTTTTTAATGCGTTGAATTATATATCGGTCCGGTCTCTAGTTTAAACCGCGCAGCAAAAATTTTTTTCTTTTTAACTGCAAGTATTAAAGAAACTAGTAAAATTGACTAGAATTGATGTTTTTTTATTAAGCACGATTTTTATTTAAATCGTGCGCGAATTTTGCGCCGCAACATTTGCGCCACCGGACCTAAAAATAATAAAAATGATTAGCAGCGCAAATGTTTCAGAACCATTTAAATGACAAAACAGAGATCCAATTTAATTTTTTTAAATCTAAAGGAAGATTAGAAAATGGAGTAAGAAACTTGTTAGTGAAACAATCTTAAAAGGTTATCTTATTTTTCGTATCTTTTTAATATAAATAGAAAAATAGGATAGTGCTAAAGGGAAAATAGTTTTTATACAAGTATTATTAAATTATTATCCAAAGAACTAACAATAGTTTTTAGTGTTCTTCGATTCAGATCAAGAGAGCTTAGATCAAATACGGAACTTATATGGTTTAGGTATCCTTTTTTAGCCACGCCCCTTTTCCCTATTCCATCATCAATCAAACCAAATATGTACATTTCGGTCTGCCTTTTTTTCCTCGATTTCACTCAATTTTCCCTGTGGCATGTTCATTGAGACAATTAATAAAGAAAAGATTAATTTTTCTGTCCAATTTCACCTAAGTAAAACATAACATTTGAATCAATACTCTTTTCAATGGCAATAAGTACCCAGGTCTGCCTTTTTGAAATAATGGTCTCCGGTAATTTTGTGTGTTTGCAATCATATTTGTCTCAAAATACTGACCATTTTACCTTTTTTAGACATTTTTGACCCCTGTAATTCTCAGCGATATCAACGACCGATTCTGAACGACTCAGCTTGGTGAGTTAATCTATTTCCTCACTGACCTTTTTCTACGTCCTAAGCTGAATTGATTGATGGGTGAGAAGGAGAAGAAGTAAAAGACAAGGATGGAAAAGGAAAAAGGGGCGTGGCTAAAAAAAGGATACCTAAACCATATAAGTTCCTCAAATACATCCAGGAATATAACAGAAACTAGAAAATAAATTCCGTTTCGGGAATGTGATTCCTGGCTCAAAAAACATCGTGTATTCCCGATTTTCGTCTATCCCCGATATATTGTATCCCGGTTCTTCTGGGTACAACCCGAATAGACGCGCGGCCATAAAGTCGCCAAGCCATAACTTGCTAAAAAATTTCTGGCCTTTAACAATTATGGTACCGATCTCTTTAGCTCGATGAGAGGAATCGTTTAATACTAAATTTGGTAAGATTCGGAAATCTTAAAGCAAGTTATGGATTGGCGACCTTATGGCCGTGCGACCATTCGGGCGTGCCCCGGCTCTTCTATATTAAATAAATTTAAATATTCTACTTAACTAATAATAAATCTAACTCAGATAATACTCAATTAAATAATTATACACAATTTATAAATAAGTTTATTTATGTTTAGGTTTGGGTAGCAAGTTTGATCAAGTCGAGCTTGAAAGGTAAAAAACAAATATTTACAGTGTAAGGAAATGGGTGGAAAACGACAAATGAGGAAGTTATAAAACAGGATAAAAGAATAAATTATTTAAAATAAATGAAAGGAGTTTAGGATCAAATTAATTGTTTGGGCTGTAGTGTGGTTCACCGGAGGTAAATGAATCGAATGTCATTCTATTCGTCTCGACGAGCTGAGTCGAATGACACCAAAATCAGCAAAATATGACTTGATTTGACAAAGTTATGATCGTTTGTTTTAGCTTCTTACCTGTCTCCATGGAGGTTTTTGCTGCTACGGAGGCCCCAGGTACGTATAGAGCAAGGGATATAGGAATAGGCTCAGTTCGTCGAGACGAATCGAATGACATATGTCACGTCCCGAACTTTTACCTCCGGTAAACTATACTATATCCAATATTTATTTGAGGGAATGGTTTAAATGAAGTTGGGTAAAGTAATGTTTGGGGAAATGTTTTAAATATTAAAAATGGGAAAATAG